GCGTAACATTTCCGTCACACGCTTGAGGTATTCAGCCAATCACAACGCACTGGATAGCTGGCCAATCAGAGCACACCTCGCTTTTCAGAACGATGAGCTTTGTAAAAATTGACACGTTTCAGAAAGGCCGGGCATAGAGGAAAAACAAGAATCTTCAGTATGTGGAAAATAATGTGTTTTTTGAACCTTAAACCACATAAACACATTTCATTACACCAAATACACTAAATAATGTTCTTTTTAGCAACATCATATGACCCCTTTAAATGTTTCTAAATGTACCTCTATTTAGAGCTGTGGATTTCTGATTGGATTACCCAAGTTTGATGTCAATACCAGGTCCACTCCAAACGTGGCCTCTTATTTCTGTAGAGGACTGATTTATCACAAAATGCCCCCAGGCAAGAGTGCAAAGTAACCATGTGCCCCTCCTTGTAGGTGTAAAGTTGATTCTGACCTGACCCTGACGGGGCGTCTGACCTGTACTGCTCAGTGTGAGAAGTGTCAAGCAGGGATCAGGGCTGCCTTTAGACCCAGTATGCTGCACCACTACAGTGATGTTTTGGGCTACCTGGACCTTAACGCAGTTGCACCTGTTGATCTGGTACTGAAGGAATCTGTGTTCAGTGTGGGCTGCCTTAACTGCAACAAGGAGGACACAATTCAGGTCTGATGAAGATTTACTGAAGATGACAATTGACATCATATACTTCATATATATAATGATTTAACATTACTTTGTCAGCCCTACAATTTGACACTGTCAGATAAATACATCTCATCAGCAATATGTTTTTCTGGAAAAGAAAAACAAGAGAAGCATGTGATATTATTTTCAATTGTTCTCTCTCACTTTTATTTTCTTATTTTTTTCTCTAGAATCTGACTTCTGGGCAAAACTGGGAGCAAAACTGCCAACATTGTCATACCAAACTCAGCATTTTTGTGGAGGCGACACGTTTCCAGTTCATTCAGCCAGAACCCAGAAATCAGACAGGTCTGAACCCTGTCCTATATCCTCACTGATTCTGTCCAGTTCTTGTTTCTTGTGCACTGTTGTCCTAGAGTTAGTCTCGCTGTGAGGGATTATTTACCGCCAGCACCAGGTTTCCCACTGAAGCTTAGCGAGTTTAAGTCTGGTCAGACGAGGACAGGAGACCCACTGGTATTGAGTGTGAAAAACGGCATTTAAATGTAACAAATTATTGTTATTTACTGAACTTACAGGTGCAGCTGCCCAATACACTCAACGCTACAGAGACCCTGCGGTTCAGCAAGGGAAACCTCTACCCAATAAAGGGGCCTGCAGGCATTTCAAACAAAGTCACCGGTGGCTAAGGTAACTACCAGGAACATTGTCTGGGTCTGTAAGAGGTTTATTTTGTAGCATAAAGCGCCACATCCTCTTGTTTGACCTATAATGTGCCCTTGGCTCATATTTAGGGCAGACGTCTTGTATTAACTGTCTCTTCTGCTAGATTTCCGTGCTGTGGTCGGGTGTACCCATGTGACTTGTGCCATGATGAAGATCAGGACCATCTGATGGAGCTGGCCACCAGAATGATCTGCGGTTATTGTGCCAAAGAGCAGGTCAGCAGGAGAAAAGCCGTCCGGCTGACTGGATGAGGATTATTTTCACCTCAAACCCCCTTAACCCAGATATTGCATTGAAATTAGAGGCAAATTAGACAGGGTTTCTGCTTATTTAAACCTGTGGTTTTTGGAAACATTACAACACTGAGTGCAGCAAAAAGGATTTGACCCAAATTTTGCCAAGACGAACAAGAATGCAAGACATTAGTTCCCAAAACAAGAATGAGTCAGCAACGGGTTTTGTCTGGTTTTTCTTCAGTATCTAGATTTTCCATTGGACATCAAATGATGACACGGTACCAAACTAATTTACTTTTTCTTAAAGCATTTAGAATCTAAAGCATTTAGAATTAAACAATTTTACTATTGAAATGAATTGTGATGTATGAAAATATTTTTAATTCTAAATGTTTTTAGATTGTACATATTTTTGGGAAAAATCGCTTTGATTCTAAATATTTAGAATTTCGGTGATTTCAAGAAAATGATTTACAGTGTAAGCAAAGTGGTTGGCACAAACTGTTTATCCATGCTTCATGTGAACCTCCATTTTTTCCCCCAAAGTTTTTGAGAATGAGACATAATGTGCAAACTGTCTGTTGCAAACGATTTTGCATCAAAATATTAGAGTGGCCTTTGACATTAACAAAAAATATATAGGAATGATTGCATTTTGCATTTCGATTTGTTTTTTTAACTTTATCTGAACACACCTTTTGGGTCTCAACTCACCAGTTGAGAACCACTGGTTTCTAATATACTTATAACTTTTGACATATTGTTTTATTTTCTTCTTCTAGCCATACAACAATGGTAAACCATGCATTAGTTGTGGAGGTATGATGACAAGAGCGGCCTTCACAAGCCACTGGGAGGGCGGACAGGGCTGTAGAAACAAGGTTAAGATGAGCAGGTATGTGCTGATTTCCCAATACTTTATAAACCCTGTGGCAGTGAAATATAGCGGAGTATAACATTTACTTACTATTATATATGTTGCAATGCCATATATTTTGTTTGATCAATACTTTATGTACAGTGTCACAATTAACCTTATGGTTTAAATATTTTTATTTTTAAGACATTTTAACAGACAATCACTTGTAATAACTCTTTTTTTAAATACAAACATATAAAACTTACATTTTAACAAATAAACATTAAAAAAAAGAAAATGAAAAACAAACAATAGTCATTAAAATACTAATTGAAAAATTTTTTTTTCATAGATTTCCCCCCACCCAAAAACTTGACCCATAAGTGATATCCCACATTTAACCTTAAACTAATAGTTGTTGACAAGCGTAAAATATGGTAGTTTTTTTTTGCACCCATGTGTTCTAAACAAATTGGACCAAATATGGCCTGATCATGTTTTTTTGTCTCTGAACTGTATATGCACTTATCATTTATTATTATTAATTATCTTATTTTTCTATATAGGAACGACCGGCAAAAATACGCCAGTACATGTAAAACGGTGGCAAAGAAAAAGAATCAAGAAAAAATTAATTAAAGATACCAAAGGGTCTTATTTTGAGCCAATCAGATGATACATGGCCAGGTACTTAAACATGTTTAAGTCATCAAATCACATTTTTAGATTTCTTTTCAAATGATTAAAAAAACATACAGCATACATATACAGCATACATATATTCAGCATAACATGGAAACTGTTCCCACTTTTTGTACATCTCCTCTCTTTTTTTTTTTGCTTGTAGAAAAAAACATATTACATGTGCATAAATTCAATACATCTTTGGTTTTAGATTGCTTACGAATACCTGAAATGATGCTAGTCAAAAGTAATTTAGACTTCAGAAGTTTGCTAAAGGTTACAGTCATTATGATGTGAGATTTTATCATTATTTTTACTTCGTCACTGGACATCTTCTCTCTCTTATTAATTTATTTTCAAAATGCAACCAAGTCAAATTATGGATACTTGTAATAAGCTAAATATGTCTGTGCATTTTCTATGATTGCAATTGAAATAAAATTATGTACAAAAATATTTTTGTTGTTGTTATTATTAATATGGAATGGGATATGTACAGTTTTAGTCAAAAGTTTACACACTCTTGAATCCGCAAAATGTTAATAATTTAAAAATATTATGTTTAAAAAACTTGGTGGACTAGATCTGCTACAAACACTGCTGCTGCTTTGAACATGTAAGATGTGTTACTGTTGTATGAATGGGCATACATAAATTCCATAGCAGATCTAGACAGGTGGAGCTGGGGGAGGTGGAGGGTTTCAGAGGACCTCTCATAGCGCGCTGTAGAACAAGCTTATAACAAATACTGAACCAGACTATTTACTGTAAATGTTGAGCAAGAAATTTAATTGGCTGAAGAATCATGAGCTTGTGCTATGTAGTAAATGATGTGATTGCTAGCCGATTGCATGACCTATCAGTCTGTGCCATCTAGAGCTTTATGATTGAACTATGAGAAATACACAACAGATGTTTACATATCGTCCAAAAGACAAAATAATAAATGAATTTACAAAAATGACCCAGTTCAAAAAGTTTACTGATTCTTTGAAACCGAATGATTGGTGTAAATTGTCATCTGGATCATAGAATGTCCTTATTAGGTTATTGGTAATAGCACAAGTTATATCCAAGCTACTATTTATACTTGCATGATTTTTTTTTTATTCATATTTATTCGGTTGTACCAAAGCTGTAAATTCAATAAAGTGGGGAGATTATTTATTGTACTGCCCTGAATGAGCTATTTTCACATAAAAGATGTTTACATATAGTCCACAAGACAAATTAACTGAATTTACACAATGGCCCAGTTCAAAACTTTACACACCCTTGATTCTTTGTTGAACTGTTTTATTATTTTGTCTTCTAGGTAGTGGAAGGTCAATGCTATGTTATTGGTAATAGGTAAAGTTACATTTGAACTATTATTTAAATCTAAATGTATTTTGGGTTATTATTTGATTATTTGGTTGTACCAAAGCAGGAGAATTGGTGGAAACAGTTATTTTGTCATCTGCAGAGTAGAAGGTCCTTGCTAGGGTTTTGGTAACAGTTACATTTAAATGTCTTAAGTAAAGTTAAGCTTTTTTATTTATTATTTCTATTTGGTTGTATCAGCTGTAGATTCAGAATGAAGAGAAATGGTCCGTTCAATAACCCAGACACTAAAGAGACTGAGAGACTTGGGTTTTTGGGAAAGCTGTTCTTTTGCGCCAGGATTTGAAGGAAGTAATCCAGCATAATATTTGTTTACTAGCGGTCTCGTTTCATGTCTTGGAAAGGTTGGGTTGTGGGGTATTGGCTGAGAAAACCGAAGTGAAAGTGCACCAGGATTTGAAGGAAGTAATCCAGCATAACATTTGTTTTCTAGCGGTCTCGTTTCATGTCTTGGAAAGGTTGGGTTGTGGGGTATTGGCTGAGAAAACCGAAGTGAAAGTGCCCTATCATGGCTTGATAGGAGGTCCAAGTCTGGCTCAGCAGTATAAATAGGGCTGGGTTATTCCCATCAGCATTCACTTGCATTTGCTCAATCTATAGCAGCAGAATGTGGAACATCACTGAAGTTGCTCTTCGGCTCCCAACTTCCAAGGCTTCTGACCATCTTCTTCAGCCCCTGTGGGACTTCCTGTTATTCCAGCACTACACCCTGGTCTCGTCTCCATTCTTCCCAGTGCTGCTCGCCTTCTCCTGCTATTTCATCTTCAGCGTCCCCTTCGCCATCCTGGATGTCTTGGGAGAGACAGCTCCTCTCTTTGAGTACAAGACCAAAAGCAGCGCCGTCCCACCATCGGCATGATGCTGAGGACTCTGGGAACAGCGGTGTACAATCATCTAGTTTTTGTGCTTCCGACTGTGTTGATATCCAATGTGGTGATGCCTGCGCCTCCACTTCCTGCAGTTGCTCCAACAGTATGGGAACTGATCTCTGGCGCGTTGGGTGTTTTGCTCATCTTTGACACCCAGTACTTCTTCTGGCACTTGGCGCACCACAAAAACCCTCACCTGTATAGATGGGTCCATGCCATCCATCACAATTATATCTCGCCGTTCTCCTGGTCCACCCAGCACCTCAGCGCTGTGGAGCTGATGACGGTGGGCTTCTGGAGCAACATCGACCCCATCCTGCTCAAGTGCCATCCTCTGACAATATGGACTCTCTCTGTTTTCAGCATTTGGAAGTCTGTGGAAGACCATATCGGCTACGACCTGCCTTATTTGCCTGGCCACCTGGTTCCTTTTGGGCTTAGATGTCTTGGGAGAGAGAGCTCCTCTCTTTGAGTACAAGATCCAAAAGCAGCGCCGTCCCACCGTCGCCATGATGCTGAGGACTCTGGGAACAGCGGTGTACAATCATTTAGTTTTTGTGCTTCCGACTGTGTTGATATCCAATGTGGTGATGCCTGCGCCTCCACTTCCTGCAGTTGCTCCAACAGTATGGGAACTGATCTCTGGCGCGTTGGGTGTTTTGCTCATCTTTGACACCCAGTACTTCTTCTGGCACTTGGCGCACCACAAAAACCCTCACCTGTATAGATGGGTCCACGCCATCCATCACAATTATATCTCGCCGTTCTCCTGGTCCACCCAGCACCTCAGCGCTGTGGAGCTGATGACGGTGGGCTTCTGGAGCAACATCGACCCCATCCTGCTCAAGTGCCATCCTCTGACAATATGGACTCTCTCTGTTTTCAGCATTTGGATGTCTGTGGAAGACCATATCGGCTACGACCTGCCTTATTTGCCTGGCCACCTGGTTCCTTTTGGGCTTCTTGGAGGAGCGATGGCCCATGATATACATCACCAGAAACCCAGCAGCAACTTTGCACCTTTCTTTAGTCACTGGGACAGACTCTTTGGCACTGCTGTAACAGTGAAACCGTCAAAGAAAATTGATAAAGAGAAGTAGACGGCTTCATCGGTTTTAAACCTTTAATCTGTGTAAATATAAAGCATTTCAATTCTTGTATAAATATTGTATTTTTCTATTCTTGTATTTTTGTCTGCATTCTATATGGTTAAATTAATAAAGAACATTTCTGTATATTTTATTGTGCATGTCTTGCAGTGAAGTTTCAGAAGATTAAATATGCAGTCCATTTTTCTTATGAAAAAATAATCTGTTGCCCTATACCAGGGGTGGCGATCTCCGGTCCTGGAGAGCCGCAGCCCTGCAGAGTTCAGCTCCAACCCTAATTAAAACTCACCTGCCTGTAGCTTCCTAGTAACTGTTCAGACCTTGATTAGCTTGTTCAGGTGTGTTTGATTAGGGTTGAAGCAAAACTCTGCAGGGCTGTGGCAGGACCGACATTCGCCACCCCTGCCCTATACAGTATATAAGACACACATTTACATTTAAACATTTTAATCATGCTAGCAAAGAAGACATGAATAAAGAACATTTCTGTATATTTTATTGTGCATGTCTTGCAGTGAAATTTCAGAAGATTAAATATGCAGTCCATTTTTCTTATGAAAAAATAATCTGTTGCCCTATACAGTATATAAGACACACATTTACATTTAAACATTTTAATCATGCTAGCAAAGAAGAGAAATGCAGAAAATAAGCACATATAGCAAAATCTCTAAATCTGAAATTTATTCCAATAACCAGCAGCCAGAAGGTGGTCGCACATAACAACCCTCGTCCTCGCATTAGTTACAGCCAATGGTCTGATATTTTACAGCTTTACAGTAGTTATGTACAACATAATATCTGGTAACTAACCCGATTACTGAGCTGGCGAGGTTTAAAGAGAAGGGCATTTTCAATACCCCCAAAGCTAGTGCTTTCCTCCAAAACACTACCAAGAGTTTATTACAGATTAAAAAGTCAAATATTTCTCTACTGGATATGAACTTTGACAGTATTTCCTTGTAAATCTCTTTGAAATGGGGATAGATAAATAAATAACACTTGTACAATGTGTAAACCCTGAACTGCTTTTAGAGAAAAGTAGCACTAACTGTGCAAAGAGAGAAATTTCATGATAGAATGTTTTGTAAAGTTTCATAATGATTCAACAGCATTTCGTCAAACTGTTAATCACATAATGCTTATTTTGTTTAATGTGTGGATTAATGTGCCACTAGATCTTTACAGAAAAAGAGAAAAGAAAACGTAAATATGCAAAGTCTCAGACATAGAATTTTAAAAATATACACCACCGTTCAAAAGTTTGGAGTCAGTAAGGTGTTTTTAAAAGAAGTCTCTTATGCTCACTAAGGCTGCATTTGATGAACAAAAAACAGTGATATTGTAAAATATTATTCCAATTTAAAATAACTATTTTTCTTTTATAATGTATTTCTCCAGTAGCTATCACTCTGCAGCTCTCCTCCTGGGAATACTAGGTTGCTGCTGGAAGAGATGCTATTGAGGCCAGCAGGGGGTGCTCACCCTGTGGTCTGTGTGGGTCCTAGTGCCCCAGTATAGTGACGGGGACACTATACTGTCAACAAGCACTGTCCTTCAGATGAGACGTTAAACCGAGGTCCTGATTCACTGTGGTCATTAAAAATCCCAGGATGTTTTTTGAAAAGAGTAGAGGTGTGACCTCAGCATCCTGGCCAAATTTGCCCATTGGCCTTTGATCATCCATCCCCATATCTACTGATTGGCTTCATCACTCTGTCTCCTCTCCACCAATAAGCTGGTGTGTGGTGGGCGTTCTGGCACACTATGTCTGCCGTCACATCGTCCAGATGGATGCTGCACACTGGTGATGGATGAGGAGATCACTCCTCACAATATAAAGCGCTTGAAATGCCTAGAAAAGCAAATATAAAGCATTTCAATTCTTGTATAAATATTGTATTTTTCTATTCTTGTATTTTTGTCTGCATTCTATATGGTTACATGAATAAAGAACATTTCTGTATATTTTATTGTGCATGTCTTGCAGTGAAATTTCAGAAGATTAAATATGCAGTCCATTTTTCTTATGAAAAAATAATCTGTTGCCCTATACAGTATATAAGACACACATTTACATTTAAACATTTTAATCATGCTAGCAAAGAAGAGAAATGCAGAAAATAAGCACATATAGCAAAATCTCTAAATCTGAAATTTATTCCAATAACCAGCAGCCAGAAGGTGGTCGCACATAACAACCCTCGTCCTCGCATTAGTTACAGCCAATGGTCTGATATTTTACAGCTTTACAGTAGTTATGTACAACAACATAATATCTGGTAACTAACCCGATTACTGAGCTGGCGAAGTTTAAAGAGAAGGGCATTTTCAATACCCCCAAAGCTAGTGCTTTCCTCCAAAACACTACCAAGAGTTTATTACAGATTAAAAAGTCGAATATTTCTCTACGGGATATGAACTTTGACAGTATTTCCTTGTAAATCTCTTTGAAATGGGGATAGATAAATAAATAACACTTGTACAATGTGTAAACCCTGAACTGCTTTTAGAGAAAAGTAGCACTAACTGTGCAAAGAGAGAAATTTCATGATAGAATGTTTTGTAAAGTTTCATAATGATTCAACAGCATTTCGTCAAACTGTTAATCACATAATGCTTATTTTGTTTAATGTGTGGATTAATGTGCCACTAGATCTTTACAGAAAAAGAGAAAAGAAAACGTAAATATGCAAAGTCTCAGACATAGAATTTTAAAAATATACACCACCGTTCAAAAGTTTGGAGTCAGTAAGGTGTTTTTAAAAGAAGTCTCTTATGCTCACTAAGGCTGCATTTGATGAACAAAAAACAGTGATATTGTAAAATATTATTCCAATTTAAAATAACTATTTTTCTTTTATAATGTATTTCTCCAGTAGCTATCACTCTGCAGCTCTCCTCCTGGGAATACTAGGTTGCTGCTGGAAGAGATGCTATTGAGGCCAGCAGGGGGTGCTCACCCTGTGGTCTGTGTGGGTCCTAGTGCCCCAGTATAGTGACGGCTGAATAGTTACCTGTGTTGGGAGTTTTAACTTATTTATTTGGGTTGGTAGGTGATAAGGTTTCCTCCTATTTGATCACTTCACTAGTTGACGTAAATATCAAAGATCGCACATTAAAGAACATAGAAAGACAAATTTTATTGCACTCAAAACATTGTTAAAATGCTTGAAACTTGAAAACAATAAATATGACTTTAAGAATGACAAACACTAATAAGAAACATCACCTGTTAGTGCATACTCTTATTAAGATACTGCACAAACATATTGGCAATCTGTCCAATGTTCTCTGTCGGATGCATCTTGGTGTAACTGATGAACTGACGTCTGAGTTTCCTCAACTCCACCATGTTAAGACTTCTTGTGAATTCAATGTATTGAAGAAGTTAAGAAAACTGGGTAGGTACAATACATTACATTAACAAATTAAATCGATTTTTTGGAGGGGGGATTTTTATTCAGCAAGGACACATTGAATTGATCAATAGTGACGTAAATACATTTACAATATTACAAAAAAAATTACATTTCAAATCAAAACTGTTCTTTTGAGCTTTCTATTCACCCAAGAAGCCTGAAAAAAGTATTTGTGGTAAAACAAAAAAATACCACAAAAACATTAATCAGCACAACTGCTTTCAATTGATAATTGAGCACCAAATCAGCACTTTAAAATGTGACACTGAAGTAATGGCTACTAAACATTAAACTTAGAAAAGTTCATTTTAAAGTTAAAAACTTAAAAATTATAGTCCACAACTGATTGCAAACTACAAAAGTAAAATTGTAGTTAGTAATGTAATCTATTGGATTACATTAAGTAATGTATTCGGACTACTTTTTGATTACTATAATATATATTCCATTCTTTGGTATCAACATGAAATGTATTAAACATTAAATTACGCAAGGGCTTCTCAAACTTGGGTTCATGAGTTGATGAAAAGCTAATCATTAAGTCAATTCTAAAGCATTTTAACATGTTATACAGGTGCATCTCAATAAATTAGAATGTCTTGGAAAAGTTCATTTATTTCAACTCAAATTGTGAAACTTGTGTATTAAATAAATTCAATGCACACAGACTGAAGTAGTTTAAGTCTTTGGTTCTTTTAATTGTGATGATTTTGGCTCACATTTAACAAAAACCCACCAATTCACTATCTCAACAAATTAGAATACTTCATAAGACCAATAAAAAAACATTTTTAGTGAATTGTTGGCCTTCTGGAAAGTATGTTCATTTACTGTACATGTACTCAATACTTGGTAGGGGCTCCTTTTGCATGAATTACTGCATCAGTGCGGCGTGGCATGGAGACAATCAGCCTGTGGCACTGCTGAGGGAATTTTTTGGAATCTGATTACGTAATCCAAATGACATGAAATCAGTTACTACCCAGCACTGGCCATAACAGGACAAAATTACGTATTTATATTTAAATAAAAGTTAAATTAATTTCACAATATTACTGTATTTCTGATCAATTAAATGCAACCTTGGTGAGCAGCATAATAGAATTTGTTCAAAAACAAAAATCTTACTAATCTCTTACTAAACGTTTGAATGGTAGCATATGCTGGAAACCTAGTTGCAAGACAACAAAGAATGAGTATAAATGAATTTCTAATAATATCCCATTTGAATCATGTATTATTTCAAAGGGCCACCTGCACTGGTCCATCTCTGTACATGTCTAAATGCTAAAGCATTTACAGACGGCCAGCAAACTGCAACTGCATCAGAAAGAAATTACATTCTTTGATGTTTATGTATTCATTACATTCATATAGGTCCAACTGGACCTGTTTATTACTACAACACATCTTCAATTAACATTAAACGGGTCAACTTTCTGTCAGGAAGTTGCAGTCAAGCTTATTCAAATTCCAGACTTGATCTTGGTTTCGTGTTGTAAGCGTTTCTAATGCTTTGCCTGTGTATGGTAGGACATTTCTGTGTTGTCACAGTGAGATATATCAAATAGCCATGATGGGTGGCTCAGCAAAGCAAGACAACGATTTTACATTTTCCAGAAAGAAATTCAAAGCTAAAGCTAAACGTGCTAGAATAAAGGATATCTTTTCCGTGGCTCCAGAAATGGAAATGAGATCTCCAGGGACGCTGGTCTTCTGTGACTCAAGAACAGCCTGAGACATAAAACAACACGCTATTGATACTGATGGTCTTGCTATGCAAACAGGCAATGAATCAGTAAGAATGACTTTTCTATTTTTATAACAGAACACCTAAAAGTGATGGAAATCGTACCATTAGGACATCCTGAGTAACTTTGTCCAACTCGTACAGAAAGTTTGTGGATGAGAGCGGTTGCTGTAAAAAGGCAACGAGAAACAGGTTCTAATATCCATTCAAGGGCAATAAAAAGTACATCATGCTAATATACACTCATGCATAATGCATTACTAGTACTCTTACGTTCTTCGTGGACTGATTAGGTGGTGGTGCTTTTCGTTTGAAAAGCGCATCGCAGATGGCTTCAAATGGAAGCGAGTCCCCTTGCTGAATAGTAAAGAGTGGACTATCCCATCTATTCCTTGAATCAGGGGCTTCAAAACGCAGTATTAGCGCATCCAGACTGTTGTTTAAAAGAACAGAAGAGATTATTACATTTAGATAATATATGTAGCATCTTTATTTTATAACGTTATGAACTTTTGAAAATACACTACCTTTTAAAAGTTTGGGGGCTAGTAAGATTGTTCAACAAGGCTGCATGTATTAGTGAAATAAGTAGTCAAATCAATTGTTAATTTTTCACCTATTGTGAAATATTACAATTCAGAATCACTTTTCTATTGTAATATTTTTCTTTTTTTCCCTGTGATGGATAAGATCAGATTTCAGCAACGGATTTGGTGAGATTCGATCAAGAAACTTTGATTATTATCACTGTTGAAAACAATTGCGTTGCCTTTTTTTCTTTTTTTGAAAACTATGTTGTTCAGGATTCTTTTATGAATAAAAGTTAATTAAACAGGATTTTTTTAAATAGAAATCTTTGTAACATAACAGACACTTTTGATTAATTTAATGCAAGCTTGCTAAATAAAAGTATTACTATCTTTAAAAAAAAAAAAAAACATCTTACTGACCCCAGACATTTGAATGGTAATGTACACCTAATATCAGAAACACACAACTAGAGGAATAGTTAACCAAAAAAACTTGTTTATATTTACACACCTCAGACCATCTTTCATCTGAAAATATTTGGAGAACTTAGCATTACATCACTTGCTCACCAGTGGATCCTCTGCAGTGAATGGGTGCCGTCAGAATGAGTCCAAACAGCTGATAAAAACGTCACAATAATCCACAAGTAATCATCACGAATTCAGTCAATCAATTAAAGTCTTATTAAGCAAAATGCTGCATGTTTGGAGAAACAAATCCACCATCAAAACGCTTTTTTATGTTCAAACCATGGCTGATTTATCTCTCATACTGACGGCACCCATTCACTGCAGACAATCCATTGGTAAGTAAGTGATGTAATGCTGAGTTTCTCCAAATCTGTTCAGATGAAGAAAAAATAATCTTCATGAGAGTGAATACATTTTCAGTAAATTGTCATGTTTGGGTGAACTATTCCTTTAATATAACTACCCTGAAACAAAGCAAGAAATGCTTACATTTCCTGTGTGTACCGAGAATCAGCCTCTCTGCCTTTATTCCATTCTGAGCTCACGTCAGTTGACGTCAAACAGTACACCTGCAGGGGTTATAGAGTTATGTGAACTAGTACATACAAAAATAGTTTGAAATGTGTTCGAGATGAGTTTTAGGAGTTCACATACCAAGCAATGGGGTGTTTGTGTATGTTTGATAAGACAGAACAGCTCATATCTGTAGCCTAGAAATGAAACAAAATGAGTCCTCAATCTAACGCCAGACTGAAATCTAGAGTGCCGCATGCAACAGCAGCTGTTAGACCAAGCTCTGTTATTATAATGCTCAAGTCTGTATGTCCCTCAATATAACACTTTAAGAAATGTGCTGTACTCTTGTACAGGATCAATCATTTTCTAAAGGTCAAATAAAACTAAACATATAACACTATATGCATATAAAAGGCAAAGATTTATTAATTTTACCAGAGTAAACATTGATTTACCTTTAATATAATTCAAGGAATCAAGAATCACAATGTCGTCTTTATTTACTTTCCTATAAACAAAGAGAGAGAGGTACAAAGAAACATTATTTCAATCAAAAGTAGCTCACTGTACTCTAATGCAAGTGCATAATTACAATTAGTATACAATTATAATTATATAAATGTATTATTAAAAGAAGTATACACTTTTATATAACAAATGTAATCATTGGTGTAAAATTATTCCCAGCAGGACCTATAACAGCACGTTTTGTCTTCATTTTTCTATAACGCGTGGTATTCCAACTTTAGACCAAACTGTATATTTGCACATGAACCTTAACAATTATTTCCATAATGTTAAAAATGTAAATAAGATTAGACATACTTCCTCTCTTTATTAGAGAGCTGGTGCTTTTTAGTGCAAAATCAGTTCAAATCAATAAAAACAAAGGAGGAACATTTTGTTCGTCTGGACAAATACAGTAATTCATAAATCCTTAAATGTTTTGATATTCATGACTCAATACATCATGATAAAACAGCATAAATGTTTATTTTAAAAAAACAACAACAACATGAATACATGTTGTACATACAATTCTAAGACTTTAGCACATATGTTTTAGGCAGTGTTGGGGAGTAACTAGTAACATGTAACGGAATTACGTAATTTAATTACAAAATAAAAGTAATTGTAATCAGTTAGAGTTACTGAGAAAAAATCTGTAATTAAATTACAGTTACTCATGAAAATGTTAAGGATTACACAGGGGGTTAACATCTGCTTTTTTTTCACACACACACTCCCACATACAGATTTAATTGATTTCTTTCATAAATTGCAGTGACTGCTCTAAAATATGAAACACCAATGTTTCAGGAGTTTAGAACATATTTGATAACTCTTTTATTTCCTATATGGGTTTATGTATAGCTTAGCTATGCTTCATTTTTTAAAGATGAACTCTTTTTTTCCAATTCATTGTTAGATTCCGAGATTCAGTGTTTACGGTCATAAAATATTTTTTATATATCTTTCTTGTTATGATTTTAAATATGTATTTAACCTCAGAATGATCTCAAAGTAAGTCTGATTTTGTGGTGGCTGTGCTTCAAAGGGGACATTGATCTTCCACAAGTTGGTATGATTCTTTAGGGTCTTCATGAACGGTCTGCAACATACTCTCGTTAAAATCCCTCAGTGGTCGTGTAAAACAACACCCTTTTTACCTTGCTCTGTTCACAGCGACTCATTTTGGGGCATGTCTCTTTAAATGCTAATGAGCTCTGCTCACCCACCCCTTTCAGCAAAGGCGATTTGCAAATAATCATAAAAAAATATAAAGTGTCAGACTTACTTCTTCTGGAAGTGCAGCTGGATCACGAACATTGGGTACTGATCTATCCTTAAGTTTAAACTTTTTAACAAAACCTGCCTTGAACTGTCCCTCGTTCAGAAAGCAGTCTGGAGTAAAACTATTTGTGCAGACATAAACGAATTTAGGTGTATTCAGTGGCGCATTACCATTAAAAACAAAACTAATGCACTGCGCCCTAAGTGGCGGTTGTGGGCGGGGCCTGAACAATATGACGTCATACTGCTCAGAAAATCTAAACGGCTTGATAATTGAGACCGTTTAGGATTTTGGGATTTTGGGGGAAAAAAAAAAAAAAGGAAGGAATGGATTTTTATCATTGTAGGGTGGTTGTGTCCATACATTTCTATGCAACTATGCAAAGCAAACACCATGTAAAAGTGAATTTTGCATCCAATGTCTACTTTAAAATTTAAATATGTGGCCCTGGACCACAAAACCAGTCATAAGGGTCAATTT